ATGCAAATGCTGCAGGGTGGGTTTACTCTAGAGTAAATTGCTCCCAGTCTCCAGCAAGCTGCCTGCTGCTGGGGTGGGCTCTGCCACCAGAGTCTGGGCAGGGACAAAACCCCTCTGCCCTGGCATCAGGGAGCTCCTGGCCCCAGCTCTGGCCCCAGCTCCTCAATCAGGGGCAGTGGACTTAGAAAGAACTGCAGAAGAGGGGCAGGTCCCAGCCCCCTGCCCCAATCCTGAGCCCACGGCTGGATGGGGGTTAGTCCCATGCCTCAATCACCAGATTGCCCTAACTGGGACAGTTCCCAGCCCCCTCTCCACTATCATGGGGTGGGAGCTGGGAAACCTGCTTCGCAATCGCAATCCCAGACTGTTCCCTACAGTCATGCTCCCAGTCTGTAAATACAAGTAGCAAATTTACTCCTAATTACTTACTGCACCATATGGCATGCGTAGATGGCTGGGAGCATGATAGTGGGGAACAAGCTGAGATCATGATCGTGAAACGGGACCTGGAGAGTCTGTCCCTTGCACAGGTCTGGAATCAGGGAACAGGAGCTTGGAGCTTCCTGCTGCCAGGGCATAGTCCCTGCCAGGGGGTGCAGGGCCCCTTTAACATTATGCAGAGCCACAGGACCCCTGCACAGGCAGGGAATGGCAGTGCCATAGCAATGAAATTTGGTGCCTGGGGCCAAGCAGATCCCGCACACCCCGGGCGAGCCACTCTTCAGCAGATGTGAAACTGGCAGTGCGTGGCTGGGGGGCAAGTGGCCAGACACTTCATCCGTGGGGTGGGTCTGAGCCTCCAGCTCCAGGCGGGTCCCATGGGAGGGGCCGCAGCCACTCCGCCTGGCTCCGAGGGGCCCCCCAAAGCATAGGACCTGGAGCAGTCGCCCTGATTCGCCCTTCCCAAGGAACAGCTCTGCCTGCCAGGGCTCTGGTGCCCCAGCAGCAAGCAGCTCCCAGGGGCAGGGAGCAATCTCCTGCCCCCTGCCGCCTGGCTGATCGGGAGCAAGTTTGCTCCTGGTCAGCCATCTACATGTGTCACACACCACAGTACGTAATTGGGAGTAAATCTGCTACTTGCATTTACAGGTAGCAAATTTACTTGTGATTAGAGCCAGTTACTGCATAGTAAGTATCTGCAAGTGTGACACTCACTGAGCAGTAATTTGCTCTAATCTCGAGTAAAGCATCTCGTGTAGATGCATCCCCACAGTATCTGGCATGTGAAGTGTTATCAGGCCACAGTCTCAAACCTGGGATTTCAGGAGCTGCCACTCTTCCTGGTCTGCTGCCTCTCCAGCTGGCTGCTCAGGCTAGAGACTGGTGGCTGTAAACCTCCACCCCAGCCTAGCCAGTAGCCACCCACCCACTCCCCACCACTGGAGTGGCCAGCCAGGGTTAGCTAATACTGTCTTTCCTCTCCATATAAACCCTGACCCTGGACAGGGTTCACCCCGTACTCAGACTGCCTGCTGCCTTTGCTGGTTTTCTGTTAGTACTTACCTGGCAGGGGAGATACCACCATGAGGTAGTTTTTGGCTGAGGTGATTTTACCTACCTGGCATGGGAGATCTCCTTCTCAACTTTGAATGACTTGGTATAGTTAGGGGGTGAAGGCCTGTCCCTTGCACTGAGGGCAGGCTGACCCTTGAGAGAGTTTACAATACCTCTAAATATGAGGATCTGGGCTACACAACTTATGGTGATGGGGGATTGCTCTCAGGTTTTCCCTCTAGCTTGCTCCTTTGACCTTTTTGGTAAAACGAGAGGCAAGTGAGACTCAGGGACATCTGAACTCCTCTGAGCTTGGGGCTTGCATGTAGGACGCCTGCCATGGATTTGGGAGTTTCTGAAGCCCCAAGCTGAAGAGTCTTGGAGGGAGGATACTTGCTGATGGAAGTGCCACACAGATTTGAACAACTGAGCTCTGTTCAGTCAACAAAATTTGGGATTGATTTGGCTGATTTGGCCCAAGATACGATATTGCAAAAAGAAAAAAAAATCCTGCTGGACCTTTTGGCTACCTGATGTGGCTTGACCTCTGGCTGTGTGGTCTGCCTGGCCCTCTGGCTTCCTGATTTGACTTGTTCCCAGACCCAGTTCTTGGACTGACCCCCTGGCTTCCTGACCTGGCAAAGTATTGGAGTCTGCCCAACTGAGGACCATGCTGCCTATGACCTAGTATGACAGGTGTGCAGCCTGGGGTCTGCATACTGGCACCATGTGTGCCAGGCTGAAGTGGGACAGCTCTGCCTCAGGCCATTCTCAAGCATGCCAGTGTCCTCCAGAGAAACTGTGCAGGAACCCACCTGGAATGGCCTCACTGCTGCATTTCTGGGATGGGTACATGTAAGTGGGAGCAGGAAAGGGGTGCTTGACACTGTAGATGTAGTTTCCCTCTGTCTGCACTTCTTCCTTTGGGTACCCCCAGTCCTCACCTTGAGCCTGAGCTGTACCCTATTGCATAAATGGGCACAGTGCAGAAACTGGCCTTTCCCACTGCTCCTTGTTCCTGATGCAGTCTACAAGTGACAGGGTTCTTCCCAGCAGTACCTCAAATGAGCCTTCAGGGATGTATTTGGTAGCCGTGTTGGTCTGAGACAAAAAGAAATGCAAAATCTAGAACGTGTGGTTCCAAAATGATACCTTCTATTAGACCAACTAGGAAAAAAGAGATTTTTTTTTTTTTGCAATGTCCTAGCTGGTCTAATAAAAGGTATCATTTTGGAACCACGAGTTCTAGATTTTTGCATTTCCAATGAGCCTTAACACCTTTGATGCTGGGTCACAAGCTATGGTGAGAGAGACAGCAGCAGTGCCATCCAGTTGAATGTCTGTTCTCATTTCACTCATGCAATTAATGCTTAGACAGTGAATCCTGAGACTGAAGATTACTTTTATGCTCAGGGATTGGAGCAAACCATCCCCACCCGTCATTCTAGATAATGCAAGAAATAACCAAGTTTCTTCATGGAACAAGATGGTTAAAGGGCTCTGTGGTGGCAAAATCCTGCTCCCTGCTACCGTATGGTATAAATTTGCTGCCACCACCTGGCTGCCAGCTGAAGGCCACCCTGGGGTACTGCCACATCCCTTGCAGGATGCTATGAGATGTGAGGAAGTAAGCAGAGAACCCAGGTTCAGGCTTGTCCCTGCCTGGACAATCCCCCACCCCTACTGCCTAGCCCCTGTGTAAAGAGGCAAGCCCTATAATATATAAATTAGTTTTTGAAGTTGGGTGCCACTCAGGTCAAAGAAGTCATAAAGGGGGCTTCTTCAAGCCTAGGGAGGCCTTCAGTTCAAAAAAGGTTGCAAACCACTAGTCTGTACCTTCTGGTGGCTTTCACAAATGCTTCAGCAGCTTGTGCCTTCCCAGAGTGTCTTTGTACTCTGGCAGCATCACTCCCGAGTGGCACTAGGTTACCCTTGGACATGGGACTCGTTAACTTGTGGAACTCCTTGCCAGAGGAGGTGGTAGAGGCAGGAAATGTAACCAAAGTCAGAAAGGGATTAGAGAGAGTCATGGATGGCAGGTCCATTAAGAGCCATTAAATAGTGCAGACAGACAAGGATGTATCCTCTCTCACCCCTAAACCAAGAATGGCAAATGCGAGAGAGTGTATGATGGGAGACGGATTACACTAGACATGCTCTGTTCATATTCTCTCCTACAGTGCATCTACTGCTTGCCACTGTCAGGACTGGGCTAGATTGACCACTGGTCCAAACCATTATGGGACTTCTTATGTGCATGCATCCCGGTGGCCTGCAGGGACAGCCACCACCTCCTGGCAAAACGTTTGCCAGCGAAGACAAGTCATTACAAACAAGGCTTTTAAATCAATTCTTCTTGCTATTCATAATGACTCACTCTAATTCACAGCAAAAGTGTCATGGCTACTGACAGGAATTGTCTAATATCCTAGGAAATCCCAGAAACCTTATCTGGGCAGAAGGAGCCAGGGTGGATTTGCCCTACAGATGAGGATAGGAGACTGAGAGCTCCATTTGATGCACTACCATTGCTAGGAAAACCTTGAAACACTCTCTCCCAGGTTGGGGAGGATCAATTTGGAGCCTTAGGGCAGTAATTTTCAGGGTGCTGTGGCACCTGGGGGTGCTGCGAGATCCTTTCAGGGGTGTTGCAGGTTGCCACACAATGATAACACTGTTATGTGAGCAAACATGATTCACAAAGTAAACTCGGGGATTTCGAACAGGAATCCACAGTGTTAAAGTCCTAACTTGCTGTGGTTTTTGTGAGCTCTTCACAACAAAAACATTTCTGTATTATTTTTTCATAGTCAAAAATGAGTGAACTAAGAGCTGGCATTTTCTGAGGGCTGCCTTGAGCCTAACAAGGAGCCCCTTGAGTCTAGAAAGGTCGAGACCCACTGCTTTATGGTGACATATATCTTCCTCTGTCTCTTGAACACCTTCATACCTTAAGACTGACATTTCATTTGCTTCAGCAAGCCCTGTTATGCCGCCTCAGTTGTTTCCTTGGGTTTCTGTACGTTCAGAACAGGACCCAGTCAAGAACTGGAATTTCTATTCTGCTAGAAATATCATATCTTGTTTTTGCTTTAAATTAAGACCAACCTCCCCCACCCCCAGCAAATCAGAATGTCAGTCTTTGGGGAGAACTAATGGTCAAAAAAAAGTTTCAGCCTAGAAATTTTGAACGGACTCATTTTAACGTTTCTCAGCAAAAGACATTTATTTATTCACTTGTTAGATGTATATGCCACCCTCCCCAAAACAGGCTCCGAGTGCCTTATAATAAAAACCAGAAGTGAAATAGCCTTGCCCTATACAAAATAGGTAGCTTCTAATATTAATATTGAAGACATTTTGAAAATGTCACGTGAAACTTTTGTTAATTTAACTGTCTACTTTTCCTTGAACAGTGATCCATTGCCCTGGTTCATTCGAGGGATAAGTCTTGGCCAGTGGCCACCTCTTTCCTGGGTTACATGCATCTGTAGAGCTGCCTACACATTTAGGCTGCCTTCCTGCTGCATCTAGGACCCTGGGGCGAGGTTTGTGCCGGTACTTAGACAACTGACTTCCACCAAAAGCAGATGCTTGGACCGATACTTGGACCAGTGGCTCGCTGGGGGCTTTGCTAACTTTCCCCAGGCCCTCCGCTCTGCTTTTGTATTCAGATAGTTTGTAAGTGGTTCCTGGTTTCTTCAGGAAGGTTGTTTGCACATGACCTGCGATCTGACAGCAGATGAAGTACTTCTTCAGTGCTACTTTGAATCAGGCTTCATGTGTATGTCAGCTATACACAGCTGGTTAAAATACTGCTAAGGCATGAACCCTGCAATGCCTTTTTTAGTAAGGAATGGACCAGAGGTCCACCCCCATGAACGGTTATGGACAGCCCTGGAGAAGTGTTGCCAGCCTTTGCTCTCCCCAGGAGCACTGAAGTAGCCACGTAGCCTGCTTATCCTGGGACCTTATCCCCCACATTGCAGTGGTGAGCTAAGCTGGACATAGATAGTACTGGATCCATCACTCCTTAAAAGCCAGACCCTTCAGGGACAGTCACTATGCTCAGCTGGGCCTGTCCGAGGAAACTACATGGCAGCCATGTGGGTGGCAAGTGTGTAATGCACAGATGCAAGGTCAGTTGAACTGTTCTGCTCACTCCTCTGTGGGAACAAGCCCCAGTCTGAGCAGCCATGGCAGACAAATCTGCTTTATGAGCTCAGTCCCATGAAATACGTGCTATACATCTCTGACTTAGCTAGTCCTTAAGGTGCAAATCTATGCTGACTTCAGACTCACATGACTAGCTGCCTCTCTCTGCTTAGAGACCCCCAGACACTGTAGCCCTTTATGTGTGTCCCATAGTTGTAGGGCACAGGCTGCAGAAAGTCACCTGGCCATGAGAACAGATGAGGTTTGTGCACACCCTGGCACCTGTCTTTCCCACACAGACCTGGCCTGGTCTGCAGGGAGATGATGTGGACAGAATGAGTGCCTTATGCCCGGTACATACCCACCGTGGACAACCCACAGAAACAAACTGTCCACTTTTCCTTGGATCAAGTGCAGCCACTGGCTCCTGCTAGGGTTACAATAGCCAGTGTCCAGCAAAGCTTCAGGCTCCAGATTGAGTTGACGTTGTTGAGATTATTAAGTATCTATATTAGAGCAGCACCCAGAGACACCCCCTGAGAATAAGGTGCTTGGTGCTGTATAAATGTCTAGCAATAGGCAGCTCACGCCCCAATATGTAACTGAAGAGCAGGTCAAAGTGAGAGCAGAAACAGACACGAGTGATTTGCCAGTGGGTCAGTGGCAGAGTCAGAAGCAGAACCTAGGTCTCCTGGGCCCCAGCCCAGTGCATTGCCTGCTTTGTTTCTTACTGCTGTACAACATTTAAACCATGGTAGCACCTAAATGGCAAGCAGGTCAGAGCCTCACACAAATGGGAAGCTAATGACAGTCCCATCCCGCAGACGTTATAGACGTAACAGGCAGACAAGACCAGAGGTGTAGCAAGCTCCTTCAGCATCCTGTGCAGAACAGCTTGGGGTTTCCATCCACCACTGGAGAGCCTGGGGGAAGGAAGGGGGAGCAGAGTCTTACTTGCCCTGACTCTCAGCACTTAGGTGGCAGGTGCTACTGCTGCAGACTCCTGCTCCCCCCACAAATAGTACTGGATGTGGAGATGCATAGCAAAGACTCCCGGAGGGAGGGGGTTCCCCTTTGTGTCAGTGCCTGGGGATAGTGCCTTGCTTGTTTCCCCCTCTCCTCCCCAGCCCAATTATGCTATTAAGCAAGACAAACTGACAGCTGGGGGCACAGAAGAGGACCCAGGGATGGGACAGACAGTAGTGATGACATTAACCCCCTCCATTCCCAGACCGCTCCTCTGCACAGCAGGGAGCACTGGGCGTCCTCCAAGTGCCTTCCCATAGTGCACAACCCAACATGACTCCACAGCTATTGCAAGTGAGCCAGACACAGCGGGGTAATGCTTTGCTGGAAGGCACTCAGACCCCTGTGACATGGACCAGGGCAGGACTTGCAGGGAATAGCAGAGAGCAGGGAGCCCAGGGAGCCAGCACCTTAGGCATGTGCAGTCCCTACCCTTTCTGTGAATCAGCGTTTCCCTCCTGTGCCATCCTAGCCTGCTTCTCGGCTTGGCTAGGGCATAGCAATCTCCTCCTGGAGAGCTGCCCAGCCCTGGGCACTGCCAAGATACCTCATGGTGCCGCAGCCATCTGGAAATGTGCACTGGCCTTTGGTGCGATTCTAGGGGATTTCTACCTGCCTGTTATTTGTGGCATTTGCACCGTGGCTGGGTTGTAATCAGGGTGGTGGTAACAGGCAGCAGGGTGTCTGCTTGGCCTGTGGGCTTGCAGCTTTGGGAGGTGCCCTGTGGTCCATACAGCATTCCCTGCACGGCTCACATATGCCCAACCAAGGCCCAGCCCCTGCATGAGCCCACAGGAACTGGCTCCCCTCTCCCCTCTCTCTGGAGCAGGTCAGCTCCAGCCTGCTGATCACTGCTCTGGTGAGTTGTCTTGCGGCCGCCAGAGGGCCTGGGGCTCCCACTAGGGCAGCTTGGCTGCAGAAACTGCTTTTATTTTGGCCAGAGCTCAGCAGAGAATCCAGAGCAGAGGCTGGAGCCGGGAGAGGCAGGCAGCAGCCTTCCTGCATCCCAGCCGCCCGCACTGCTCCACCAGATCCTCTCCTGGCGTGGGGCTGCCTTGCCGGGCAGGGGCTGCTGTCTCCAGGTGGTGGATCTCTCTCCCACTCGCACACAAGGAGTCATGCCTCTACTCTGGACCCTCCTGCATGTGCTGATGCTGCAGTGGACTTCAGGTGAGGAGGCCACACATGGGCATGCTGGGCTCACCTGGGAAGGCAGCACACATCCAGGGCAGGAGGATGAGACCAGCAGAAGCAGTTTGGGGCTGAACTTTCTGCTGGAGGCACCGGTGAAGGTGCAACACCCACAGGATGGTCTGCAGGACACGTCAGCACCAGGGGAGAGGCTGACAAGGACAAGGCTGCGCCGAGGGACGGAGGATGAGGACTCCAAGTCAGTCCAACAATATGTGCCAGGTGTGCGGGTGGAGTTCCCCCGGCCCATCAACCCTGGCAGCCTATGGCCAACCAAGCCCCTGGTGCCCTCCAGCACAGACCCATCCAAGCACCAGGAAGGGAGCCACACCAACCCACAGGGCACAGACCCCCGGAGCAACCTTACCACAACACCGGACAAGCGGATGCAGATCCAGAACCCTCTGTACCCGGTGACTGAAAACTCATACAGTGCCTATGCCGTGATGTTCCTGTCCCTCATCGTCTTCGCAGTGGGCATCATCGGGAACCTCTCAGTCATGTGCATCGTCTGGCACAACTACTACATGAAGAGTGCCTGGAACTCCATCCTGGCCAGCCTGGCATTCTGGGACTTCCTCATCCTCTTCTTCTGCCTGCCGGTGGTCATCTTCAATGAGCTCACCAAGAAGAGGCTCCTGGGGGATATCTCCTGCCGCATTGTGCCCTTCATGGAGGTAAGGGACCAGCTGGGGCTCCATCAGACAGTGTAGGCTGTTTCCCTGTGCACTGCAGGGACCTAGTCCAAAGGCTAAGTGCCACGAAAACCCCAGGGCTCGGGAAGATTTGTTTTAGCCAGCAGCGCGTCGCTCCAAACACTAACCTCTCCCATTGCCATTTGCCCTCTGAGGATGGACCCCTCTCGAGTGCCACATGCCACGTATAAGATGGGGTCTGTACTTAGCATGGGGTTTGTGGGGAGACAGGGTCAGAAAAGGGACAGAAAAAGCCTCCCTTGTTCCTTCCCTGGTATTTCCCTCACTGCATACTCCCATCCTACTCTGCCTATATGATGAGATGCAGCAGAGACCCTGAGTTCCTCAAGATGGGCAGCAAATGCTGGTAAATGTGCTGATCTCCAGAGATGCTGCATGCCCCCTCCCCCTGCCAGTTGCCCTCTAGAGAGCAAGCACAAGCTGGCTCAGTGGGCACCTACATTCAGGGGCTGCACCTGTGAAAGTGCTAATGTGAAGGGCCAGAGATGGAGAGGTGGAGCCGGGGCGGTCTTGAGCTAACCCTGCCAGCCTGAGCCCCTATGGAAGCATTCACCTGTAGGCCATGCCACCCACCCAGTTCTTAGCTGCAGGCCCACTACTGTTGGCAGACAGGCAGGCCAGAACAAACCCAGCTAGCTGGCACTGCAGGTGCATTTGTCTGTACTGCAAGGCAGGATGGCTCGGCAGGGAGGGGACCGGCCAGGGCCTGCACGCAGCTGGGTTCCACGCTGTGTTTTGCCAGAGGCTTCTTATCTGACGACGGGTAAGCGATAGAGTGTCTCTGCGTAGCAGTTTGAGCCAGACCCCAGGCAGTGCTGCCCCATGGAGCCCTGCTGACACCAGCTGTGCAACGGGCTCCTTTGATCCTGTGTCAGCCCAAGGGCTTTGGCAACGCTGCTCACCTCCCCAGAGCGCTGAAAACGGAAGGGAACAGACCCGAATGCAGAAATGCACCTGCTGCGTGTCCTCTTAAGAGGCCAGGGCTCATGTGCTGGCTGCCCTTTGAGTCCTCCTGAGGAGCTGGCACTCCCTGGGGCCTGTAGTGACTAACCCTATGTCTTGTGGAGGCTAAAGCAGCAGCCCTCACTCTTGTAGCTTTTGCTCCCTTTTTTGGCTTCCAGAACTGGCAGCTCCCCGTTCTCCATCTTACGGCACTGGGAGCAATCCCCTACCATCAGAGCGTCCATCTGCCAGCCAGGCCCTGCTCAGGTGGAGAGGGGAGGCTGGCACGGTGCCTGGATTGTCTCGGGGGACCCTAGCCCCTCTGGTCAGTAGTATTCACCTGAGTCCAAGGTGTCTACAAGGGCAGGGGCTGTTGCTGCCCTTGCTCCCCGGGGCTGCCTTTGCTGTCGCTGGGCTGGGCAGGGGAGCTCGTGCCTCTGGTTGTTTCCAACAAATCAAGTTGAACTGCGACTGGCGACTCTCCATTCTGGCCTACACGGGGTGCAGACAGGGCATTGTGCTGGGTGGTTACTATGGAGAAACCTTCTTATGGCTGAGGAACTTGTTACCATGGCAAGGCTGTTAATTAGAGCCAAGGAAAACCCAGTGGAGGTTATTTGCCTCCCTCAGAAGCCATCCCACCCCAGCCCCTGCCAGCCTTGCTGCAATCACACAAGTTTAAGGTGGAGGGTTGGGCACTTGGGGCATCACCTCATATAGGCAAGGCAGGGGGCCTGGGTTTCACACAGTCTATTGGGGTCAGCAGGTCAGATCCCAGCTGGTGTAAATCAGTGTACCTCCATAGGAATTAGTGGGGCTTTGCTGAGCTTCACCAGATTCTGGCTCTGGGTTGATTTTGGACCTGCTGCAGGAGGTCTCCATGGCTTCTGGTGCTCCCATGATCGGTTATAAAGCTCTTTGTGCTCCCAGAGGTTTCCATGAAACCAGCTGTTCTGAGCTCCTCCTTTCACAGCCTCTTCCAAAGGTGCCTTAAAAAGCATTTGTATGCTATGCCTGTCACTCTATGGTAGACTCCAGCATTTTGATGCTATGAGGATAGGCTCCTTAGCATTATCCTGGAGTGCATTGAGGGACAGATGAATGGATAAGCCTCAGAAGAGCCACAGGTATAGCATAGGCTCAGTAAAAGTTCAGCTGGTAGTGGGAAGGGTCTGTGATTATCAGTTTCTCTTCCCCTCAAAAGCAATCTCTCCCGTCAATAATCAGCCTGGACAGAAAAGGAAAGTTAAGGGCGTCAGCATCTTTCACTCATAGCCATGCAATGCCCCTTCCTGCTGGCAATGCAATTAGTGCATAGTAAACGAGGACCAAAAATTAGCATTGATCCCACCCGGACCCTTTCCCCTGCCATTATCGAATGCTGACGTCCACTTAGAGTGTACACCAGTGATTCTCACCCAGGGTGCCACGGCACCCTGGGGTGCCTTGAGGTCCTTTCAAGGGTGCCGCACATTAGCATTGTTAGGTGTGCAAACATCATTCGCAAAATAAACCCAGTTTCAAATAGTAATCCACAGTGTCAAAAACATCCTCATTTGTCGTGGGCTTTCTAAGTTCTTTGCAACAGAAAATTATTTTTAATTATTATTATTAAAATTATTTAAAATTATTATTTTTCTTTAGCCAAAAAAATAAGTGAAAACTAAGAGCAGGCATTTTCCAAGGGGGCCTTGAGTCTAAAGAGATTGAGAACCACCAAGGCAAATACTCTGGGGAGGCACCATGTGTACAGCACCTGGCACAAGGGGGTCTGGTATAAGGCCAGGGCTCCAAGGGGCTATTGCTATATCACAAATAAAATAATAATAATGATAACCACGTTGACTCTGTGCCTGATGAGGTCTGGGGGGTATCTGGAGTTTCTGCCTAGTACAATGATGTATTGCAAGGCAATGGGGAAAAGCCCAGGGAAGTGAGAGTGAATATGATCCTAAATTCACCCTGTGCAAGACCCATTTGAGGCCTCTGGACTGTGCAGGGATAAACCTGGTCCTGGGCCCCACAGCAGAGATGGCTGGGGGGGGGGCGAGGGAAGGAAAAGGTCACACTGTTTCTGGTGGAGTGTGTCACATCCATGCTGGAGCCGTAGATCCTCGGAGCTGCCAGCAGCTCCGCCGTCCTTGCCAGAACTGGGGACTCCGGGCAGGAGGAGTGTGCATGGCCCAGGTGGTACCACCAGCTGCGAGTGATTCAGCTGTACAATGGCTCTCGCTCAGGCCATTGTAGCAGCAATCTCTATGGGGGAAGTGCAGGGACAATGGGGCCTTGATACTGCTCGGTAGCGTCACTCGGTATGCGGCCGGGGGGCGTTCTGGGATGGGCCCGCTCTCTGCAGGGACCAAACCAGTCTTGGGACCACGAACTTTGCCTTCAGCTCCCATCCCTGCCAAGGGCAGCGTCTGTCCTGAAGAGAGGGGCTTGTGCACCAGCTGGCTCCCAGGGTATTCTCAGATGAATTGGGCACTTCGGAGGAGTTCCCAGGGGTGCAGATAGTCTGTCGGGGAAGGGGCTGTAATTAAGCATGTGGCCAGTTCTGGCCCATTTTGGGAACAGGTCATCTCAAAGGTACAATGGCTGTTGGGTTTGGGATAAAATAGGAAAGCAGGCCTAACAGGGAGCCCTTATTACTGGTCCAATCCCTGGTTATCACAGGCACCGTGTTGGTTATCCCTGTAAAATGGCCTCCAAAGCTTGCCAGGGCTGGTGAGTTTTCACTGTGGGCTGGATTTGGGAGGGGGTGCATTCGGAGACGAGCTTCTGTGCCATCTCTCACCCCACAGCACCCCAGAGGTTGCTTGTCTGGGTGTGTTCAATGCACGTGTCCTAGGAGCCACTCTTCCCCCACGCTGGGCCCTACGGATGTTTTGCCCAAGCAAGTGTCATGGGGAGCTCTAAAGAGCCCAGCTGAGTGGAAACTCCTGGCCCTTTAATCCTGTCCCTGTGGCTAAGCGAGGCCCCAGTGTGCAAGGCGAGCCTGCATGTCAGGAGTGCTGTTCTGTCTGCAGCCCAGCTGGTGCTGAGGTCTTATCTGAACAGATCTCAGGTTTGACTGCTGATGAGTACCAGGAAAGGTCACCCTGGTCCCAGTTCATGACTGTCACTGAATCTATCTACAGGGGCATTAGCATAACTAATGCAGATGAGCACAGACATGGCCACTCCTGAAGATGCAACCTGCTGAGGATTGCTCTGTTTGCTCATGAAGGGTTCCTGGGAGTGGAGCTGGTCTCTGGAATAGGAGCTGTGGGCAGGGAGCAGAAGCACAGGCTGCACTGAGCAGGGACACTGGAGACCTTGGTTCAACTCCCAGATCTACCATGGACTCCCTGGATGGTGGGTGACAAAGGGTTATGGTCTCTGCCAGCAATGGCACAGCCTGGGACAGAGCCAGGCATGCTGTGGCACCTGCAGGCAGCAGTGGACATAGGTGTCACAGCCTTGCTGGGAGTGGGGTGCATCATGTAGTGCTCTGAACAGCCTGGGCAGGATCCCTAGGGACTTCCCATGGGCTGCCCAGTGGCTCATGCTGGGTGGCAGTGGCAGGGAACAGCAAAAGAGTGCACACAGTGGCCCTGTGTGTTCGGGGAAGCCCAGGGGTCGAGTGGCTTTTCAGTGGCAGATTCCCCTTGTAAAACAAACCCTACCAGTAGTTCAAGGCCATGCTGAGTGTTCCCAGGGATGCCCCAGAGCAGAGCAGGGAGATGGGAAGGGGTGCATGCACCTTGCTGCTAACCTTTGCTTTCTTGGCCCCTGCTGTGTCCATGCGCGCTGAGCTCTGGGGCTGCAACCTGTGCTAGGCAGGACACTCGCAGGGGCAATGCCGCAGGGAAGTGGGGGAGCGGTCTCTCAGTGTAAAGGCCAAGAGTTCATTGAATATCAAAGTGATGGAGCAAATCCAGCTATTCTCTGAGTGCCGGAAACTCCCCTCAGGGAGGCTGGGCAGCAAAATGGAGACAGCTTTTAAAACCCACAGGATATTTGAGCTGCATGTGTGCATCCATGCATACATGTCTATGTGGATTCACATGTGTGTACATGTATGCAAGTGTGAATGCACATGCGTGTATGGGTGAACTGCCATCCAGTGTTGGCTACATGTAGGGGGGGCTTTGCTGTGGAAACATCCATAAAGCCTGGCACAGGACTAAGTAGGGGCTGCTGCTGTTTATGTTTGCTCCTCCCTGTCTCTAGCCCTTGCAGAACTTGGCATTTTCTCCCACCGACTTTGTCCTCGTCCCTTTGGCACACAGGGCTGTTTTTCCTGCACTTCTCAATGCAGCGGAAATCACCAGGGGCTGATCTGGGACAACTGTGCCTTCAGCTTCAGCTTTGGCACTGGGGGAGCGGATGGCCCGGTGCTAGGGAGGCACAGAAGGGGGGTACTATCTCGAGCAGAGGCTCAGGGAGGAATCTGCGGGGGTTGGGAGGCACGTGGCTGCTCACGTGTGGCCAGCACTCCTTGTTTTCAGCCCCTGCACTGTGGCGGAGGCACTTAAAGCCAGCTGCCCATGCTCCACAGAGCAAAGGGAAGCACACTCAGTTCTAAATGGGAGGGAAGGGCCATGGGACAATCTTGCTACCCAGATGTAGGCTAGAGAGTAAGAAAGATAGAGGCCCTTGGGCCGGGACTGCACCTGCTTCATGTGGGACCTCAAGGCAAGTCACTTTGCCTCTCTGCTTCAGTTTACTGCTTGGCAAAATGGGAGCAACAGTAGTTGCCTCCTGGCTGCAAGACTCCACAGAGTGCAGCGGAGCACTCCTGCACTTCTCTGAACTGCCTGCAGATGCAGCCATCTCTTGGGCATGGGCACTGCACGGTTGCTCAAAATACTCGTGTACCAAGGTCCATTTCACCTCCCTGGCTTCCTCCAGCCCGAGCTTCCTGCTGCTGCACAGCACAGGTGGCTGGGGTAACTGGAGTGGGGGGTAACCGGAGCGGCTGTTTTAAAGCCACTCTGGAAGTGATTGATCATGAGAAGAGGGGTCACATTTGGGACACAAAGCCCTCAGCTGTGGCCCCCCTTAGACTCTCGGCCAGTTCTATGCTATGATGTGGTCTCTTTGCACAGCCGGGAGTTTGGTTTACAAATGCTTGTCTGTGCCAATACAACTCCCCAATGTGTCTTGGTAAAGCTGGCCCCCCTTTTTCCATTTACTTCCACCTGCTTTCCCTGTCCCCAGGTATCTTCCCTTGGAGTCACCACCTTCAGCCTCTGTGCCTTGGGCATCGACAGGTTCCATGCAGCTACCAGTCCTCAGGCCAAGACGAGGCCCATTGAGCAGTGCCACTCCATCATCGCCAAGCTGGCAGTCATCTGGGTGGGCTCCATGACCCTGTCCACACCAGAAATCCTCCTCTGGCAGCTGACTCAGGACACATCACCAGTGTCTGGGGTGGTGACCGAGTACTGCACCATGAAGCCTTCATCGGACCTGCCTGAGTCTGTCTACTCCTTGGTCCTCACTTACCAAAATGCCAGGATGTGGTGGTACTTCGGCTGCTATTTCTGCTTGCCCATCCTCTTCACTGTGAGCTGCCAGCTGGTGACCAGAAGGATCAGCAGCAATGAAAAGAAAGCTGAGTGCCGCGGGACCAAGCACAGCCAGTGCGAGAGCCAGCTCAACTGTACCGTCATCGGGCTGACGGTGATCTACAGCCTCTGCACCATCCCTGAGAACGTCTGCAACATCGTGGTAGCCTACATGTCCCCAGACATGTCCAAGCAGACCCTGGACCTGCTGAGCCTCATCAATCAGTTCTTCCTGTTCTTCAAGTGCTCCGTGACACCCGTCCTGCTCCTCTGCCTCTGCAAGCCGCTGGGCCAGGCCTTCATGGATTGCTGCTGCTGCTGTTGCGAGGAGTGCAGCCAGGACACATCCTCCAGTGATGGTAGCTCTGACAGCAAGCTCAAAACAGAGATGTCCTCCTCCATGTTCTTCGACAAACCCCGGGAGTCACCCCCGCCAATCACGGCCATTGGCACGCCTTGCTAAGCTCAGCCAGCCCCAGGGGAAGCAGTAGAGATTGTTCCATTGCCTTAACCCAAGACCAAATGTTGTTTTTACCTTAGTCTCAGTATGTGAACATGCACCAAGCAGCAGAGAGGAAGCAGGGGCTGCCTTTTCATGTTTGAAAGCTCGGACCAAGCCAGGGAGATGGAAGTGCTGTTTCCAATGGATGTGGCTTCATGGGCAGCTCTCTTGCTTCTGCTGGAAGGTCACCAAGGACTTGAGCATCTTCCAGCCCTGCCTTGCTAGCTTGTGAGGTTGGTGGGGTTGCACTTCTGGGCATGGAGGCATCTTCAGTGAAGCGTTTTGGAGCGGTCCCAGCTGCAGCACATCAAGGACTAGGAGTTTCCATGGCATCTCTTAGAGGATGTAGCAAATATTAACCTGTCTGACCTGTCCCGGGTTCTTGCTGCCCTCCTTCCTCCCCAGTGGGAGGAGGCCTCAGTGACAGTACTCCTGTGTGATGTAAGCACTCCCCATCAGAGTCCCCTCTTCCTCAATAAATCAATATAACCTAGACAGAACCAAGCTCTCCCTCAAGGCAAATTCTTCCCTGCAGTGCCCTGGGGAGTAAGCTGGGCTCTTCTGGAGGCACATCATGGTCTCCCTGTCAGTGCTAGGCCAGCTGATTTGGACTGAGAGCCCTGCTGTCTTCCACAGTGCTCCTCTCCACTCCAGGCAGGGGGGCGGTGACTTTGGAGGTGTCAGCACCCAGACTTTTTGCATTGCCGTGAGAAGTCTGGAGGTCCAGAGCACAGGCTAATAGTGTACATGACTGGCTGGGTTGGCCATTTAGATGCATCATCAACCCACATAACTGCAGATTAAATCAAATGGAGACTGCTGGCCAGGGCCTGGGTTGATGGTAGGACATCGAGAGAGGAGTGGAAGGAACCAAAGTCACCTCTCTGCTCTCACAACCTGGGGCTTGTTGGGTGCCTAAAACTTGCTCCAAGTTACACTGCAGGGGCTGTTCTCCCAGATGGAGACTCCTGGAGTGCAAGGTGCCTTCCACTGACACCACCCCTAACATATTCCATAGCCGTAGCCCAGCAGGTCTTTTGTGTGGAGAGTCCCATACATCCGATGTAGTCAGCTCATTTAGCTCAGGACAGATGCTCCCAATTGCAGCAGTCACATCCTCACAAGAGCCCCTTAACCCTCTGAAGCCTCCCCCCTCCCATGCGTGCTGGCCCTGGGTTTGCTCGTGATTGGGCTGTTTCCCTCCCTCTTGGATATCTTGACAGCTCAGGGAGTGCTACAGCAGTTGATGGGGCAAACAAATGCAACCAGGGCAAACGGACTGCCTGTAAGATGCCCCGTCCCCCCCGCCAGCCCCTGCTGTGCAGCAGTAGGATGGCTGGAGTCCTGCAGGGCCTGGCCTCAGACTGTGGGCTTTGGCAGGGTAAGCAGGGGGAAGGCTCTGTGCCCTGTGCTGGAGAAGCCCTTCCCTGGCCCCAGCACAAAGAGCCCTCTCTGCTGCATGCAGCCTCCCGTGGCTCCGAAGGCTCTTGTTCAGAAGGGAAGAGCAGGCAGCTGCCGAGAGTCCCATGTGGACGTGCTTAGAGCCACATTTTGCACACCGGGCAGCCTCTCCTGAGGGGGCAGGGGTTGGCCATGGGTCAGCAGTGCCAGCCCAGGGCACTGAGTCAAGCATTTCACAAGGAATTTGTTCCTGCTTTAAGTTCAAACCAACCCATCTGATCCACCTTGGCTGGGGGTGCCAACAGGGTGCTGCTCAGCTCAAGCTGTGTGACCCCCCTGGAGCCAGTGCAGCCCCAAACCCACTGCAGGAGGCTTTCCCCTCATCAGGCCCAGCTCCCCCTGGGCATCTGCAATGACAGGCAAGGTGACTGCTGTTGTGTTCATCAGTCCCAACCCAGCCTGGCTGGGGGAAGTGGCAGAGTCACTGTTCCCTCACTCCAGGTCCTGACACCCTCTGGCTCCTACCCAGAGCAGCTCCCCCCAGGAAAGAACACAAGGGTGTATTTTTGGGCCCCAACTCAGACTGGAAGTAGTGAAAAGTTCATCAAACCAGCGGGTGTATTTCATGCTCCCAAGCCTACTCTTCACTTCCAACACAACAAGAGGGTGGAAACAATGACATAGCAGGAGGGAGGCTATGCCTAAATGATCCAAACCAGGAGGGTCAAAATTCAGCCCACCCAAAAGACATCCAGTCCAGAGGAGGTTGCAGCTGGCAGGGTCCTCAGGAGGTCATGTCTCATCCAATCCCCTGCTTGAAGCAGAATCATCCCTAACTAAATCAACCAAAGGCCTGTCTAACCTGTTCTTAAAAACTTTTGAGAATGACCCTTACACTCAGCTCAAGCACAATGTTCAGGGTAAATCAGGGGATAAGGGCACTGCCAATATCTTGCCACTCCAAGCACAGCACACAATGTATTAAAATACTTTCAAGTGATCCAAGGAAGAGGACCAGGCCCTCATTGCAGAAGAATGCAAACCCCTCACCAATCCAGGTGGATCTAACTAGTGCTCATGCCAGTCACTGTCAGGGCCGCCCTAGGGCACTGTAATGGAGTGCTCCAGGGCACACCCTGCCTTTCCTCTCTGCAGGGGGTGCTGGGCAAATTCAGCAGCCTCCGGTGCCTGAAGACCCAAGGGAGCTTTCCAGTCCAGCCTGAGCAGAGGTCAACAAAGCTGGAGCTGTGCTGATGCAAGCAATGCAGGGCCTGGACCATTAGGTGGCTGCACGTCCAGTTCTTTGGTCCAGTTTCAGACCCTGTTTCCCAGCTCCAGCCCACTAGTGCAGATGCTGCTCTCAGGCCACTCACACCGGGCCAACGAGGGCATCTCAGCCGTCAGGAAGCTCAGCTTGTGAACCAGGAAACACAGCAGACGAAGTGTCATAGCAGGTGCTTCCTGGGGAAATCACACCAGGATCAGTGCATGGGCAGCAGCATCGGCAGATGCAGGGCCGTGGCGCTGGCCAAGCGCACGCTTGGCTACGGCTGTTCTGCTCCCCCAGCATCAGTCCTGGATTCCTGGCCCTGTTTGCTTGGGGATGTTAAAGCCCCTTGTTCTTGCTCTTTGGCTTCCACCCCCAGGACCACGAAATGCCACAGGGAGCAGGAGGCGGTTGCTAAGGGACGGCTGAAACGCAAGCAGCTCAGTGAGGGCTTTGTACAGGGAATGACACCCACCGTTTTCATTGGACCCGTTGCTATGGAGAGAAAAGCCCCAGTCTTTGTTTAGAGAAAGTAAAGACTGGGACCCCCCACTGCCCCCTCGGCAAACAGAACAGGTCCCGGGAGCAGCCGCGCTCGCCCGTGTCTCCCTAGGATACCCACCCTCCATGCCACATGTCCCTACAGGCTGGGGCAACCCTGGCATCCCGGATACCATCATCAGCCCGACACACCAAGAGTGGGAGCAGGGAGAATGAGAACCACTGCTGCTCCAGGAATGCACGTGTGGGACAGGAACAGGAAGGGAAGGGGGTGATGAGCCCATGCTAACTGCCTGAAGAGGTGAAAGAAGGGGCAGGTGCCCAGGTGAGAAGCCTGGCCCAGCACGATCTCTCTGGTGTGGTCCCATCTCAGCCTCCAGACAGTAGAGCAGGGTGTGTGGACCCTGTACAGCCTGCTCTGAGCCCCCACCTACAGTGCCCCCATTCCCTGGCAAGAACAGCCCCAGCACAAGCTAGGGGTGCAAGGAAAGTAGTAAAGGGCACATCTACCTCTAGGCTCCTGAGAGGGCCTGCTGGACCACACAGTCCCTGCCCCCATGCCATGGCCCAGCACATGGCTCCTGAGAGAGGGGGTGAGGGCACAGACGGCTCCACAGGCTGCTGTGTCTTGAATGCAGGACAAGGGCTGAGGGAGGGGGAGCTGCTTTCACGTGGCTCTTTCTGTGCTGGTTTGTCCTGAGCCGTGGCCAAGGGGAAACAATGCAGGGCTTGTTCAGGATCCTGGCTGGCTGGGGAGCAGGGATGCGAGGATGAGAAAAGAAAGAAACAGGAGGGAAGCAGCAGCCAGCACCAGAGGCCATCAGGGCCAGGACGCCTCAAAGGGCAGCTCCCGTGTACAAACACAGCCGATAGCACAGAGCAGCAGGGAGAAAGGGGGGCAAACAGCCCACTGCACTGAGGGAGGGATGAGGCACAGGAAAGCCAGAGGCAGCAAGGCTGGAGGGGGAGACAGGAGGGCAGCAAAGGCTCGCAGTCATAACTTCTAGAACAGACCCCAGCCCTCCTGAGCAAAGGGGACCTCTGCAGCCCCGCAGCCACAGTGAAGGCAGGGAGACGCCTAATGTTCTCAAGCTTGCCAGCTCTCAGGCCTCCTTGGAGACGGGAGCAGGCCTGGGAGGTCCCAGGGCTCCCCCATGCACTCCAGTGCATAAGCCATAGCCCAGTCTCACCTCCAGAGAGCAGCCCAGCCAGAGGGAGGATTAAAACTTTGGGGGTGGGGGCTGGGAGGGGAGTAATGTGGGGCCAGGACCTGTCCAACGAGTGGGGAATGCTCTGGGAAGAGGCTGGGACTCCTGGGCTCTTTCAGGGGTCCACACATTCCCCCACGGGCTGCGAGGGGCACACGTATTAACCCGGACCTCATACATATTGCTGAAGGGAGTGCAGCTTACAGCTCTAAGGATTATTAGCTATGAAAAAGGGATTAGGCTGTTGGCACCTGCTCCAAAATTCATCAAGATTTGTTGTTCCTCAACAGCCACAAATTGTTAGAGAGAAGGTTCAGGCTGGACATCAGGAGACAGTACTTTACAGTTAGGGCTGCCAGGCTCTGGAATGGGCTCCCAAGGGCCGTGGTGCTCTCTCCTAACTTGGGGGTCTTCAAGAGGAGGCTGGACAGATATTTGGCTGGGGTGATATGACCCCGACACCTGCTCCTGCCTGGGGCAGGGCATCGGATCTGATGATCTGTTTAGGTCCCTTCCGACCCCAAGTACTATGACACTAAGACGGCAGGGCTTCCTCCCCACCATAGTTACAGGCCTGCCAAGTTGCAATGCCCTACTTCTGCTATCACACACCAGTGCTCTGACCAAGCCTGCTCCCAGTCCAGATCAGCATATGCGTAGCAGAATCAGCCTGGGATCGGTTTGGGGTTCCCTCATGCTCGCAGCTGGCAGCAGCCTCAGCGTTTTGGCTGTGGGCAGATGCCTGCTGCTCTAGTTCTGGTTCCACAAAGCCCAAGGCCCAAGGGCTGATCCCATCCCTTGCCTGTGCATGCACTTGGCCTGTGTAGCACTGCTGCCTGTACAGAACAGCCAACACCATGGGGAAAGGAGCACCAAGGTGGAAGCAACCCAGCCAAAAGACTGCCTTAAGGCGATTTATAAAGCCCATCTCCTTCTCTGCACTGGGGGAGCAGACCGGGCCAGGCCTATTGGGGAAAGCCCAGCTTATGGCTGGAAAGGAGGCAGGTGTCACATGGCACAAATAGGCAGAATGACCATGCAAAAAAAGAGCCTTCTCATTTGAAGTCAGCAAATGGCAACAAGCACTTATCCCCTAGAGAGCCGCCACTGAGCACGGCAGGGACAGGGAGCTGGAGAGAGAGGGTTTCCCAATGGCACAGACCAAGGGCAAGAGTGAGAAAGGGGAACAGTAGCCCTTCTTGAATGCCAGCCAGGGGCTGCGGTCAGCCAACAGGAACACCAAAGCTGCCTTTCCAGAAGTGGTGATTTAACCCTGTGCGCATTTCTCCCCAGCAGACCTGCAGCAGGGTGGCTCTCCCAACCAAACACCCTTTTCTTCCCCATGAGCAAAAGCGAAGTGTGTGTATGAAACAGACACTGCCACACCGAGGAGCGAGCCCATAACACAGGACCAAGAGGATAGGTTTGGAACAAGATGGAGCAGAACCCAGAAGCTCTGTCCAGGGGCAGATCCAGGGGCATGAGTGGTGCACCCCCTTGATTTCTGCTCCACCCAGATTTAAAACAGCTGCCTGGCAGTGTCAGAAGCATTTGGTCAGACAGTGCTGATGGAGTCAATTGACTCCATGGCTCATTATAATCTACCTGATCGCTTCCAACTCGCCCAAGGTGTTAACAACCTTCTCTTTTTAATGGTCTTGATGTTCCACCAATCAGGCTATCCTTTTCTCTCCAATTCTGCTATTAGCTGCTCCTGGTAACAAAGGTCCTATTTCGCAGTCCTGCAGACTGCTTTCAACTCATTCCAATCAAGTTGTGTTTTTGCTTCAGTTTTAATACAGTCCTAGGCCCCTAGCATATTAGTAAAGCTTCTAGTTTATTTTTAGCTGGAGAAAAATGTGTGGCTTTAAATGTGACGATGCACCTCACCAGCTGCACGTCCCTTTTCAAAAACTGTAGATCTGCCCATGGCTCTGTCCATGGGGAGAGAAAGTACCCGCCATTCAGACAACAACTTCCTGAGAGCTCTGACATTTCAATTTTGGGGTTGTCTTGCCTTCCTGTTCAGGAGCTTGGCAATAGGCAACTGCCTGAGAGAGCCCTGATACAGTGGTGACAGCTGGAAAGCCCTTTGTGAGAGGGAGTAACCACTTCCTGAACCCATGCCCCACAGCAGTACCAAGGGTTGGAGACATGTAAGTGAGACAGCAGCAAACACCCCCAGCACAAAATTGTTAATTTATTATTAGGAGGCAAAAAAAAAAAAAAAAAAAAAAATTATACAGTTACAAGAATCATTTCCCAACAGAGGGCAAGTATGAGCCAAAAATATATCTTAAAAAAGGAATAATATGACGACACTTTACAGTTCATTAAATAAAAAATGGAAATATCTCCTTGTGCAATTCTGCAAAAACAAGAACAGAAGAGAAGAACAATGAAGTCTGAGAGCCCCCAGTGGGGCCAGCTCCGTGCAGGGTGGGATGGGGTTGAGAAGGGACCCTGCAGACTCTCACAAGGCTGCCAGCTGCTCTGAAGACATAACTGCCTCTTAGCTAACATACTGGATAGAGAGGGATATAACTGCATCTAGATAACAGCCATCTGCCCTTGGCTGGAAAGAGGTTAAGAGTGCACAAAAATCTCACTGTCCCCATACTTTGCTCCCTGGTCTGCCAAGTCACCTGCAGTCTCAGGGATAGCAGACACCAGCAGAGCACAGAAGTCAGGTGGACTGCAAGGCCTGGTGCTAGAATGCCTTTCCCCTCCTGCCACTCCCATCCTTGCCACTAGCTGTACAGCAGAACTAGCAAGGCTCTAAGCCTGTGCAAGAGACCCAGCCACTCACACACAGTAACACATGACAGACAGGGACAACCACCTGGCAGCCTTTCCATTCTGCTGAGACAGACCTGCCTGCCCCTTTCCACCGAAGCACTAGAAGGGAAGAGGTAAGACACCCCTCTGGAAATGCCCATGTCCAGTGATCCTGCATCTATCCCACAGTCACGCAAGCCAGATACAAGCCAGTTCCTTCTTAGTCCATGGGACGTCCTCCAAGGAGCCACCACTGAAGACCCCCCGCAGGAAGAACCCTCATCTGCGGGGAACCATAACTAGGCACTCTTCTGTAGTTTCTAGGGCCCTCCGGAGCAGCATTACTGCCATGAGTCTCCCACCTTGCTCCACAGGGGCTCCTAAGCCCCTGAAGAGACACCATTGCCCCCAAAACAGGGGAAATCCTCACTAGCATCCAATCCCAGGGGAACCACAGGAAACCAGAGAACCATATGACAGTGGCACAGGGAGCATGCCTATGAAGAGACTGCCCTGCCAGAACCTGGAGCAAGACCATCACTCCCAGACTGCAGGCACACACGAGAAGCCTGAAGATCCCAAGGCTGCCAGGCTTCAGCAAGAAAGTCCTATATAATAGCTTGGGAGCAAAGAAAGGGGTAGCCATGCTGTTAGAGCAAAGAGTCCTTGTGCAGCTTTTGCAGAAAAGTCTTGGTTGGCTGCAAAACAGAGACCAAGCCACTGATTGCCCAAGATGTGGGTGCATGTCCTATGGCAACACACTCACAGCTGAACTCTAACACAGGGGACTGCAGAGGACTCAGGGGCATGGAGGCAGGGAGCTGGCAGTTGGAGGTGGGTAGAAAGGGTGCTCAGTTTTGTCATCCTGTACTAAACAAGCACCTTAGTATAGTTCCAGTCCTAAAGTAATTTAAACTGTTGTTAGCCCTCTTTAGTGGAATGTGCTTTGGTGCTGAGCCAGTGGCTGGCTGTTGCATAAAGTCCATGGGACCTCTTCACAATGACCCATGCAGGACCTGGGCAGGGCATGCTCAGCCAGCCACAGGTCACTCCACAGCTCAGGACACAGCAGGGATTTTCTGTGCATAAATCACAGTACCTCGGGTGCCAAGTTCACACTGACCCCTCCATGTCACACTGCAAGTTCCTCCCGGGCAGTTTCTATGGACCTAAAAGTGATTTGCCCCTGCCCCCAAATCCCAGCCTGCAGCAGCCCAGGGAAGAGAGGAGCACAGGAGAACAACACCTAAACCAGGAGAGCAGACTACAAAGACTTCAGGGGCTTGTGTAACAGACTGGGGTGAAGAGGGAGGCAGGGAGTTTACCCCACCAGTTAGTGACCAGTCCCCTTGTGACCCTGTAGCTGGAGGTGAAATGCTGGGGAATGAAGCAGAGGGGTGGGCTCTACAGATGGGAACAGCACTGACTCACCCAAGTCAGATCAGACTGCTGACCTCAAACAGAACAATGTCTCCCCCAGCCCCTCACAAATCACCCACTTCACTCAGGGCAGTACCCGAAGAAGGGCTCAATCCATCACAAGAGACAGGGTGGGCATGCAGCAGGCAGGCAGCAAGAGCTCCAGACACTCACTGGGGAGTGGAGATACTGGACGAGCCCCATGGGCCTGAGAGGGAAGAAAGCAGCCTCCCCAGGAGTCTGCCTGCTGCATGGCCCAGCCCCACTCTGCCTAGGGGCCAGGCTCAGCTGCTAGCCCTTGCCTGGACATACTACTCTTCTTCACTTTCCAATACTGCCTCTGGTGCTCAACCTGCCTTCAAGGAGGTGGGGGAGGGCTCCCCAGCACTTCTACAGGTCACAGGGCCTAGTTTAGTAATAGCGTAATCGCTTAAATTAAAAAATTAAAATATATATACATATATATATATACTGTATACACATTGACAACAACAGAACAGTGCCAAAAATGGGAGGGGAGAGACAGAGAGAGGAAGAAGGGAGGAGGGAGAGAGATTCCAAAGTCAGACAGTTTCTTTACAATAAAAACAAGAGCTCCATCTCAGCAGGAGAGGAGCCTGGGGTCCCCTAAAAATACCCATCTAGAGAGAGAGCTGGAGAGAGGAACAGAGAAAGCAGGGAACAGGGAGAATGGGAGGGGGATTTGGGCTTGTACAATGGCATCTTCCCAATCCAAGATGTGGTCCAAGGGCTCTCAGCTCCTCCTGGACTTCGAGTGCTGAATAAGCCACTGTAGGGTAATGTCTGCAAAGGCAATGCACACCGTTACCAGCTACCAAGGAGCAGGAACTCCCCTCAAACAGTCTCTCTTTTGTGGGACTCTAGCCCTAGGCAGAGGCTTCCTTTTTAAGGGGCATCAGAGTTTCTTACCTGCTGTATTTCAGTCTGCAGTTCCTCGTGGTGTCCTCCATACCCCAGGAGGCCTGTTACCCTCACCCATAAGGAACCTACCTGCCTGCCTTCCCACCCATTGCTGCCCAGAACCTGTTTTAGACTGGAGAGGGCAGGTTGCTTTACATGAAAACTAGAAAATCATGACAGGACTGAAATGAGGCAGAAGCCAGAAGCTGAGGTGATGGAAGACTACGAGAGGGGCTCGGGCATTTCCCATCTGAACCCTGACTGACCAGAAAGGAAGAGAAACAGATCCCACCACGAACACTCCCTAAAGCCCAGGGCGGTACTTACCAATGTTATCCTTTTCTTTGCAGGAGATGGAATAGCAACAAATCTCTCGGTCTTGGATGGCAGACAGGTTCCTGTGAGGAGAGCGAGTCATTATTGTCTGCCTCCATTCGGTCCATGTTTGTCTGGGCGAAGGGAGCAGCTCTATGGGGGCAGCTTGAGGGGGCTGAGAGGAGAAAGAGAAGTCCCCCTTAACCCCCCTTCAGAGCCCCCCCACTCTAATCATCTCACGCTGCTGGCAAAGAAAAGGGCTGGAAAGCCTTTCTGGTGACACTGAAAGAGGCAAAAGGAAAACTAATGACATCCTGACGACTGAAACAGACTCCCTAAAAATAAGCCACTAGCCAGGCTGTGCATTAGAGGGGGCAAAGCTGTAACCTTACTGCATAATCTAAAATGTATCATTTGTCTTTTCTACCTTGGTTTTGCTAACTGTAAAAGTGACAGCAGTGATCTACCTTTAGCTGGACACACACACACACACACACACACGATCCTCTGTCCAACTTAGGTACCAGAAATACCAAGCAGGCCACAGCTGGAGTACCGCGTCCAGTTTTGGGCACCGCACTTCAGGAGGGATGTGGATGGCCTGGAGAGGGTTCAGAGGAGGGCCACTCGTCTGGTTAAAGGCCTACAGAAAAAACCCTATGTGGACCAATTGGGAGACCTGGACCTGTTCATCCTCTGCAAGAGGCGGCTGAGGTGATCTAGTGGCTGCCTACAAACTCATCGGGGGTGGGGGGTTAGCAAGAAATAGGGGATATGATGTTTACCAGGGCGCCCGTTCAGGTAACTAGAAATAATGGCCACAAACTGAAAGAGAGCAAATTCAGACTGGACATCAGGAAAAAATTCTTTACAGTGAGGGGTGCCAAAATATGGACTACACTCCCAAGGGAGGTGGTGATGTCCCCTTCCTTGGAGGTATTTAAGAAGAGATTGGACAAACACCTGGCTGGGGTCATCTGACCCCAGCCCTCTTTCCTGCCCATGGCAGGGGGTCGGACTCGATGATCTAATGGGTCCCTTCCGACCAAAACATCTATGAAACTATAGCAGCCCTCACAGAAAGGGAGTGAGCCACAGCCCTCTATCCAGCCCCACCAAAACAGTGTAGCCTCCACAGGCAGTTTGCTTTGAGCCAGAGCGGTTATATTATGCTCCGGTGTGGGAGATGCAGACAAAGAGACTTGGTTTCGCCTACAAGATCACTGGGCTGCAGGACCCGGGCTCCAGTGTTCAAGCCAACTGTACAAATCTAAGAGATTATGCACTCAAGCAAGACTAAAGCTGTGATCCTGGTGCCACCATGTGGCCTTGGCTGCAAAAATGCTAAGCAAAATCATTTATTTCGCCCCTGTGTGGCACTGTTCAGTCAAGGACTTCACAGCTCCTTACAGACAGGGAGACAAGCCTCATTTTATAGCAAGGACTTTGCCTACAGTCACTCACTAAGGGCTAGATTCTATCCCACCTAATAGAAGTTAAATGGACGTAGACTAAGTGCACTTCTATTCCAACCTATTCTAGTCACTGAAAATCCATTTATGCATCTACTTTGGTAACACTGCACCATCACCTAACTGCTAAGACAGAGTCACATAACCAGCAAGGAGGAGGAGGACCCACCCACTTTTTGCATTAGTTATTTTTCAAGGACTCAAATAGGGTGGACTAGAATTGCACTTTGGTGGCTAAGTCTAGTTTGCACCATACAGGTGGAACAGGATTTGGCCCTCAGTGAACAATAGACCTGAGGACGGAATCTGGGGCCTATCGCTCACCAAGGAAAGCTGAGATGAAAAATGAAATTGTCACGTAAGAGCCAAGAACCCACTGCCCAGAAGCAAACCTGGGCACAATGGAAATTTACCCAAATAGCCACCTCAGCTAGTTGCTGCCTGGGATGCCTTGCCATTAGTGCCAGTATCTCCTCCCAACCCAGTGCCTCCTGCCTGACCCCTCCAGCAAGGCAAAACCTTTGTTACCATGGCATCGAGTATAGCAGGACTTCAGGATCAAGGCTGGGGGGACCTTGAAACAGCTCTGTCTCTTGTAATTAAGGGATCATGGAGAGGAATAATGAAAAAATGTTCATTTCTTTAGCTTCTCAGCCCCAGATCCTTCCAGGCACTGGCAAATACAAGGGTATTTAATTTACTGAACAACATCTTGTCCTGCTGCACTGTGAGAGTATCCTTGGGGTGTCAATGAACACTTATAACCCTGTTCACTATTTCTGGGAGGTCATCACAGAGCAGCTTCAGAGATGGCTCACCCACCCTGGACCATCCCAGCAGTGAATTATCAGTAGGTGACAGAATTTGATTTTTATTTTTTAATAATTTTGATGGAAAACATCAATGTTTATTTTTAAGCATTTACTTAGATTTTTATCTATTTACATTTTCAGGATTGTGTGAAATTAGGGGTGTGGGGGGCAGACAATTTATTAATGACAATATACTATTACTATAGTGCAGTGTAACTGCCCGCCATGATGAATGTAACTACTGTACTGTAGACTGCCACCAGCTGAGCAGCAGAGCTGCCATTAGTCCCAACTCCGCTCACCCTGTCACTTCCTCCTCCTCTGCTCTCAGTCCCCTGGGGTTTCTGGGAGTTGCAGTCCCAACTACAGTCAGCACAGTTCGGTAAGACCGCTCCCCCCTGTTGTCACACGCTCCACCAGCCCTCATTTTTCTTATGTCCCCCTTCTATAAATTTTGATTGCTAATGATGGAAGTGCTGGTCTGTGAGTGCGAAATGAAAATTGATGTTTACCAATAAAAACTGAATCCTGCCAAGCCTAGTTATCAGGAACTGACTAGGGGCAGAGACGGACATAATATCTAAAGTGTTTCAAAGTGCAGCTGTCATGCCTAGTCTGAAGAGCTTCAAAATTGCCACAGCTGAATGCAGTAGTGTGCTCTCCAGCCAGAAGGTGTAACAGGGATCTGTAGCTTTGCACTGTGGGGAGTGGAGCCGGTATCAGTGATCATTCTCCTATCCACCCTGCCCGCCTCCGCTCCCAAGAAGCACCCCTGCTGGGAGACCAGACACAGGAAAGTACAAAGGGATTGAGGGCGGGGGACTAGTAATCCCATTTTAGAGGGAGGAAGGCCCTTTGGAAGAGTAGTGGCAAATTGGACAAGAGAGTGCTCACTGATGCAACGCCTCATTCTTCTCCTGCCTTGCCCCACGGAGGAATGCCAAAGCATTCCTATGTGGCAGGTTCCTACGTAGTAGGTGCCCCTGTTGGACCTTGCAGTGGGTCTATGTAACCTAAAGTGCTTCTAAATAATGCCCGTTTCCTGTAGGCTCATTTCTGGAGGGCTTCAAAGGGCATGTAGAACCATAGTCTGCTATATGAACTAACTCAAGCCTTACACCTGTCTGCACCTGAGGGTTTGGGGAAAGCACCTCTCGAGTCTCACTATCCAATGGCAATAGTGTTACGGCTGCAGAGGGTTTAGGGGGTGAGGAAGGGGGCACAGAAGCCACTGCCAAAGGAGCACTGGGAGGGATGGTTTCAAGGAAAGGAAGAAGCAGCAAGGGGACATTCTGTGGACTAGGGCATGCCCTATGAGAGTTTATGCACTATAGTGGGAGAGCTAACTGATGTGGCTCTGTGCTGGCTTGTTCTGCTCAGGACTCCAGCATCCTGAGAGAAGAACCTGCAATCCCATTTTACTCATTCCTCAGCATGTAACAGATCCCCAAGAATCCTACTCTTTCACTTACAAGGAGGTGCTGCATCTCCCAAGCAATGTGCAAGCAAATCATGCTACAGCAGTTCCACAGCCTCGGAGAGGCTGACAGAGTGACAATGCCCACAGCATCAAAACCGGGAGCAGCAGCAGCACCCCAGTACTTACATCTTCTCAATAAGCTCTTTCTCATCCAAGGCACCAGGGAGATCTCGCTTGTTTCCAAGTACTAGAACCTGCAGGGGAGAAGAGACAGTGTCTGAATTCTCAACCTAACACCCACATAAAGCCAGCTTGGAATTTCTTCAAAGGTTTCTGAGAGGGGAGTCTAACATACTTTGGCTGAACTTTAGCAAGATGCCCATTCATTGCTGTCACAGACACTCCACTGTTGTAAGGAATCAGGAGCCCCAAACCATTCATTCCTAACTTACAGGGAGTCTCACACCAC